ACATATTTGAGCAGGACTGGCTGAGGGATGGAACGACTGTATTGTGGAGATAGTAATGGTCACGCTCACTTTGAGAGTTTTAGGAGCCATATTTCCCTGACCTTAAGAACTTCCCTGTTATTCATCTTCAGGCGACTGACTGGAGGATTGGCCATGGGATGAAATATATTCCCAGGTCTCTTGATAAATGCCCAGGAAAGAGGAGCAGGAGGCTGCAAAGCTTTTATTTATCAATGCGGGGGGGCAAGGGGGGAAGAGACGCAAGCAGGCAAAGTGAGTTGAGGACTATCAGGTGCAGACATTGTGCAGACTGCCAATGCAGCAAGAGTCCAAAAAATTCAACAGAAGCCCGGTACATCGCCTGGGAGGAGATAAATTATAAGTCCACACTGGGCCGTCTCAAGTGATACTGATCCCTAAAGCAGCCGACCCTGGAGAGGGAGCAAGGAGCAGAAGTGAAAGCTCAGGGAGAAAAGAACAAACCGCCATTGGCCTGAGGGTCAGCTGTGACATTCACAGATCATCCCCAGGCAGGTGTCAATCATGCATGGAGGTCACACACAAAGAGACTCAAAAGTTCTTAGTGAGCAATTATGTCAAGTGGGAATGAGTGATGGACTGACAGCTGACAGAGAAGATGGGTGAGGGGGGGGGCACGTTTGTCTTTTTTTTTGCGGAGGACGAAATTCAAGGCTGTCCAATTATAAAAGCTGATTAGCTTTGCTCGTTTAAGTGTGATGGATGACCTTTCAACGATTGGCCTGGAATCATGGAATTCAAGGATCAGAGGTGGGTGGGGGCAGGGGGGGCAGCACCAGGATTGTTTCATCGTGACACATGGTGGGTCAGATTAAACTTCCCACACTGATTGTCCGATAAGACGCTAAAGATAAAAGACAGAAGAGGGCGATAGAGGGAGAGAGAGAGAGAGATTAACAGACGGTGAGAGAGGGAGAACCAGAGTGGTCGGATTGACTGACTTTGTTGACTCGCTGCAAAAATGTTGTTTGAGGAAAAGGAAGTGGAGTCGAGATACTGGATCTTTGCATCTAAGCTTAGCTGGACGCCTTTGGTTTGCCCTTAGAAAGTAAACAGCAACTGGCCAATCAGAGGCTGTGTTTATCCAATCAACAGAGGCCAGTTATCCCCTCTCTCTCTCCCTCTCCCCTCACTGACAGCTGCTGCTCTGTCTTCAGTCAAGCCAGACATCTCTCAGAACGCTGCAGTGCCAGAAGCTGCAACTGGCCTTTGACTGGCCAAGACAATTGGATTTGGAAACTTTGATGAGAGACTCAGCGGTAGTCTCTTCTTCTTCTGGAGCTCATGGTGAAAGGTGTAGGGCTTAGGCTGACCACTTACTGTTACGCCTCCCTCTGGAGATGGGGCACAGGCGAGTTAACAGGTCGGATGACTTGGAGGGTGGCTGTATGTACTGTGTAATCCCTGGCAAATGCAAAAAAAAAAAAAAGTAGTTTGTGTGTTTGGAAATGCATCAAACTTTGTATTAAAAATTATAATAATTTTAACTTCATTGATCCCACCTTGGAGGTGCCAAGTATATGGTTCTGCTGGGAATTGAACCCCCTGCTCTCTGCTTGTGAGGCAGGCTACCCGCTACACTTTGGAACCTCTAACCCTGATGGGTTTTACACAAATGTAAGAGAAACATTGACCAGATTTTATTATTTACTAACTGAAGAATGAATGTGTTTAGTTTTACTGGTGGATGTTTTTTTGGGAGTAAATCCGACTCAAACCGTTCAGCACTCGATGGTTTCCTTATGTGATTCAACTTCTCATGATGCAACCCACATTTCAAAAATAAGGGCCTGACACTGTTCTGCAGAAACAACATCCCGTCGGATTTCCTGCAAAAATATATTTATTTCCAGCGATCATACTTTTTTATGTAGCCTGTGGCCTAGTGGTAAGACTGGACACCAGAGGGTGGCTGGTTTGAATCCCATTGTTGTGTCTCTTTAGGATGACAGGGTGAAGGTTTAACTGCAGAAGACAGATTTGGTTTTGTGTAACTGAAACATGTTAGATTAGATGTGATGGGCTCACGGGCTGGAAATGGACCCCGGGCCAGGAGTTTAAGGCTACATCGCTCCCAGGTTACCACTTAACACCCTTCCCTAATCGGCCACTCCGAAATTAAATACCAGAATTTTTCCAAGAGTCAGTTAGAACTGAAGACGACTCCTGGATGAAGAGGTGAAGGATTTTCTAAAAAACCAAGACAGTCCATTTCCCTCCTCAAGTTTTTTTTGTTCAGTTTTTGTTCACCAATATCACAATCTTGACAAAGAAGCTTGTATTTACCTTCAGCCAGTCATTCACAATTGATTAAATGTCAAGATATCCCCGGTATTAAAACGGAGCACAATAGAGCCGGGCTGCATATAATCCCTCTACTTAAGGTATCAGATTAAACCCAGATAATCAGCCATTAAATAGATTCTGGCGTCTCTCCTAAAGACTTGATATGTCAGGTTTCAGCTCCAGAGAAATTGATTTTTTTTTTTTTTAAGGAACCGAGAACAAATGGAAGAAAAGACAAAGAAAAAGAAAATAAAAAATAGAGAAAGAAACAAGAGTGACACTGAGAAACAGTGAAAGAAAAAAAATGTTTTCTTTTCTTAATCTTTTGCCTCCGATTTGACTGATAGCTCTCTGCTAATTTAATTGTGCCGTGCTCATGTCACAGATTTATAACACCAATTAAAACTTGTCAAATCACTGTTTCTGAGGCTGAGCGCGGTTCCTGCCGAGCAGTCAGATTACACAGCGGTGGAGAACACAACCACACTCTGGAGATGTTCCTCAGAATGTGTGGCGTACAACGATAATCAGGTTGATTTTGATGCAACCCTTTTGGACATGATGCAAATCGTGTTGACACTTCCAGGCACACGCTGTTCCCCAATTAGTCATTTCTGTTCTTCTCCTTTAATTCTCCTCATTTGGATCTTTCTATACATCCCCTGCCTCCCCCCCGTCCCCCCTC